TCGTTCAGCATATTCCCCAATGATCCAAATCATTGATGCCCTACAAAATATACGTACTTAGCTCAGAACTTTTGTATAGAGAATTCTAACATGAAGATTATCATATTCAAGAAAGATGTTAAACTCATAAGGTTGACTAGGAGAGTTCTGGTTAATTAAAAAACAGTAGCAAAGTAACACTAAGATTTTATAATAGCATTTGCTATTAAATAATACCAATGTACCTAGTATTTGTTTGATATTACCTACACCATCATGATATAATTAACAGTAATGGACTTGCAAAAAAATTTATTTTACCATTTATTACAATCAAATTTCCTGACATGAGTATTAAAGATGAATTACAAAACTATATAAAAATCTGTTTTTAATGTGTAATGAATAAAATACTAAGATATACTATCTCAATACTTGACTGCCAAACAGTGCTTTAAACAATGATACTCCATAGAAATATTAGCATATGTGCAGAGGCAATATTCAACGGTATATTCACAGACCATTATCCCAAGTTCCTAGTCACACAATTCACCTAGTTACTTTTGCTTCAAGAATTGGAGTAGCTATCTGGGTTAATGAAAATGTTTCCCATTTCTGACTCCTTGATCAATAAAAGAATAAAAACTGATCAATTTGTTAAATTCTTCTGTGAATTTAGAGTATCTCCTAAAGGTCCACTATATTTTACAATAACTGCAGCCCTTGTTCAAACCTGATAGTTAAATATGAGTGAAACTATCATATCTGAAAGACATCAGGGTTATTATTAATTATTTTAAAGACAAGTGCTGCAGTTCATGTAATAACAGTTTGAAAGAGTAGTTTAAAACAATCATAATAATTACCTTGCTTCAGGTTCGTCAAGTGTGTCGAGGTTTTCACAAAGAGTAGAAATGATACTCTCATATTTGTTGGGATACTTGCGGAAGATATCTTTGATTACTACAATGGCTTCCTGTACCACATAATTCACCTGCAAACAAGTAAATATTGCAATAGAAGGTAATTTAATAATCTACAGCTGATCTTTAACTTAACTGCATATTTACATTTTACAATGGGGTACATATGCAGCACAATAAGTTCTGATGGAGACTTCTATAAAAATTTCTAATGCTTCTGAATAGCCCTGTCCTTCAATAGGATTTAGGGGAAAAAAAAAAAAAAATCTTACTGTCCTCATGCATGACCTAGTTTAACCCGTAAATGGTCCAAGCAGATCTACATTCACATGCATAGTGCTCCAAAAGTAGATCTACTTTTTTTTACATATTTTCAAATATAACAAAAAAAAAAAAACGTAGATCAAATTTTTTTACACGTTTTCAAATGTAAAAAAAAAAAAAATGATCTACTTTTTTACATACTATCAGATGTTGAAAAAACGTATATTTACATTTGGACCGTTTACGGGTTAAACCACAGGTATTATGACACAGTAACTTATTTTATCCCTAAACAAAACTTACCAAGCATTAGAAATACATATACATGTATTCCATAAATTACATCTTGCATCAAGATTAAACAAATTTACATAAAGTTTTTGAAGTGGTAAGTTACACAAACATACAACTGTCATTACTTACCTTGGTTTGAATAAGATCAAGAAGTGTAGAAACACACCTCTCTGCTGATGTCTCAACCTTGATGGCACAGCGCCCGATTGCTCTCACAGCTTTTCGCACAAAGTCAACGTCCACTTCTGTGGCATACCTGTAATTTGTTTTGCATAAATATCTTCTCTAATATCTGAACGAATGTCTTCAAACTGTAACAGATTTTTTTTTTTTTTTTAACAAGTCGGCCGTCTCCCACTGAAGCAGGGTAACAGCAATATCTAAATTAAAAATGTATAAAGTAAAAAGTTTCAGTGATAACAAGTAATGTATGGGTTAATCATCAGCATGCAGACATTTCTGTTTGGGAGGAAGGGGAAATAATTAAGTGGTTGAGCTGTTCATTATTTTTTTTTTTATTTATTATCACACTGGCCAATTCCCACCAAGGCAGGGTGGCCTGAAAAAGAAAAACTTTCACCATCATTCACTCCATCACTGTCTTACCAGAAGGGTGCTTTACACTACAGTTTTTAAACTGCAACATTAACACCCCTCCTTCAAAGTGCAGGCACTGTACTTCCCATGTTTATTATTATTACAAGGAAAAAAGTTAAATACCACCATTCTAGATGTTGATACAGATACTGTATTCTATATACAAGGACGATACTCATAATACCTATGAGGATGAAACGTACATAGATGAATTATTTGAAGAGCCAAATACAGTGCATCAACCATACTTTTAACTACTTTGGACAAACATCTGAATGGGATAATGTTTTTTTTTTTTTTTTTTTTTTTTTTTTTTTCAACAAGTCGGCCGTCTCCCACCGAGGCAGGGTGACCCAAAAAAGAAAGAAAATCCCCAAAAAGAAAATACTTTCATCATCATTCAACACTTTCACCACACTCGCACATTATCACTGTTTTTGCAGAGGTGCTCAGAATACAACAGTCTAGAAGCATAAACATATAAAGATACACAACATATCCCTCCAAACTGCCAATATCCCAAACCCCTCCTTTAAAGTGCAGGCATTGTACTTCCCATTTCCAGGACTCAAGTCCGACTATATGAAAATAACCGGTTTCCCTGAATTTTTTTTTTTTTTTTTTTTTTTTTTCAACAAGTCGGCCGTCTCCCACCGAGGCAGGGTGACCCAAAAAAGAAAGAAAATCCCCAAAAAGAAAATACTTTCATCATCATTCAACACTTTCACCACACTCGCACATTATCACTGTTTTTGCAGAGGTGCTCAGAATACAACAGTCTAGAAGCATAACATAATTAAAGATACACAACATATCCCTCCAAACTGCCAATATCCCAAACCCCTCCTTTAAAGTGCAGGCATTGTACTTCCCATTTCCAGGACTCAAGTCCGACTATATGAAAATAACCGTTTCCCTGAATCCCTTCACTAAATATTACCCTGCTCACACTCCAACAGATCGTCAGGTCCCAAGTACCATTCGTCTCCATTCACTCCTATCTAACACGCTCACGCACGCTTGCTGGAAGTCCAAGCCCCTTACCCACAAAACCTCCTTTACCCCCTCTCTCCAACCCTTTCGAGGACGACCCCTACCCCGCCTTCCTTCCCCTATAGATTTATATGCTTTCCATGTCATTCTACTGTGATCCATTCTCTCTAAATGACCAAACCACCTCAACAACCCCTCTTCTGCCCTCTGACTAATACTTTTATTAACTCCACACCTTCTCCTAATTTCCACACTCCGAATTTTCTGCATAATATTTACACCACACATTGCCCTTAAACAGGACATCTCCGCTGCCTCCAACCGTCTCCTCGCTGCTGCATTTACCACCCAAGCTTCACACCCATATAAGAGTGGGATAATGTGACATGTACAAAATGTCATAGCAAGGATGTTTCTAAAATGCACACACAAATCATAACCTGGCTATTAGTGAAACCCAATTTAGGTTTTAATATCACTTTCTAATATATTAAAATGATTTCAAGTTAAAATAGATTTTTGAATATGTGCAGGAACTCACATTCGCAGGAATGTTAAGTTATCCTCCAGCTTAGAGGCTTAAGGGTTAAAAAAAATAATCTAGCTGCAAAGTAGCAATGTCTCATTATTGTCACAAGGTAAAAAATCTAAAAAACAATGCAGTCATGTTAAAAGTAATTTAATGGCAAAATAAATATGTAGTACAGTGGACCCACAGTTAACGATATTAATCCGTTCCAGAGAGAGTGTCCTTAACCGATTTTATTGTTATCCGATTTAATTCTCCCCACAAGAAATAATGGAAATCTGATTAATCCCTTCCTGCTGTCAGGATTCATGACAGAATGGTACTTCAATATGATGCTATTATCAACTCTATGGCTTATTTATCTACCACAACTCATCTAATATGATATAATAAACAATATTAATAACATAGAAACATGATATATACTCTAGAATGAATAAAATATGTCATAATGTATGTGAAGAGTAAGTGGTGAAAGTGTTGTTGGGTTTACAAGGGCCATTGAGAGAAGCCATACATATTAGTGGTGGAGGCAGCAGCAGAACCCACCACCACTATCCACAAACAATATATGTAATTTATAAATAAGAAATATTTACAATTTATAAATAAGAAATATTTACATTTCAGTTTATAAATAAGAAATATTTGCACTTACCTTGGAGGAGATGTTAGTTTAATTGGTTAGTTTGATGGAGTGTAGCAGGCATGCAAGAAGTGCAGCAGGCATGCAGGGAGTGGAGCAGGCATGCAGGGAGTGGAGCAGGCATGCAGGGAGTGCAGCAGGCATACAGGGAGTGCAGCAGGCATGCAGGCAGGGAGCGTAGCAGGCATGCAGGCAGGGAGCGTAGCAGGCATGCAGGCAGGGAGCGTAGCAGGCATGCAGGCAGGGAGCGTAGCAGGCATGCAGGCAGGGAGCGTAGCAGGCATGCAGGCAGGGAGCGTAGCAGGCATGCAGGCAGGGAGCGTAGCAGGCATGCAGGCAGGGAGCGTAGCAGGCATGCAGGCAGGGAGCGTAGCAGGCATGCAGGCAGGGAGCGTAGCAGGCATGCAGGCAGGGAGCGTAGCAGGCATGCAGGCAGGGAGCGTAGCAGGCATGCAGGCAGGGAGCGTAGCAGGCATGCAGGCAGGGAGCGTAGCAGGCATGCAGGCAGGGAGCGTAGCAGGCATGCAGGCAGGGAGCGTAGCAGGCATGCAGGCAGGGAGCGTAGCAGGCATGCAGGCAGGGAGCGTAGCAGGCATGCAGGCAGGGAGCGTAGCAGGCATGCAGGCAGGGAGCGTAGCAGGCATGCAGGCAGGGAGCGTAGCAGGCATGCAGGCAGGGAGCGTAGCAGGCATGCAGGCAGGGAGCGTAGCAGGCATGCAGGCAGGGAGCGTAGCAGGCATGCAGGCAGGGAGCGTAGCAGGCATGCAGGCAGGGAGTGTAGCAGGCATGCAGGCAGGGAGCGTAGCAGGCATGCAGGCAGGGAGCGTAGCAGGCATGCAGGCAGGGAGCGTAGCAGGCATGCAGGGAGCGTAGCAGGCATGCAGGCAGGGAGTGTAGCAGGCATGCAGGCAGGGAGTGTAGCAGGCATGCAGGCAGGGAGTGTAGCAGGCATGCAGGCAGGGAGTGTAGCAGGCATGCAGGCAGGGAGTGTAGCAGGCATGCAGGCAGGGAGTGTAGCAGGCATGCAGGCAGGGAGTGTAGCAGGCATGCAGGCAGGGAGTGTAGCAGGCATGCAGGCAGGGAGTGTAGCAGGCATGCAGGGAGGGAGTGTAGCAGGCATGCAGGGAGGGAGTGTAGCAGGCATGCAGGGAGGGAGTGTAGCAGGCATGCAGGGAGGGAGTGTAGCAGGCATGCAGGCAGGGAGTGTAGCAGGCATGCAGGCAGGGAGTGTAGCAGGCATGCAGGCAGGGAGTGTAGCAGGCATGCAGGCAGGGAGTGTAGCAGGCATGCAGGCAGGGAGTGTAGCAGGCATGCAGGCAGGGAGCGTAGCAGGCATGCAGGCAGGGAGTGTAGCAGGCATGCAGGCAGGGAGTGTAGCAGGCATGCAGGCAGGGAGCGTAGCAGGCATGCAGGCAGGGAGTGTAGCAGGCATGCAGGCAGGGAGTGTAGCAGGCATGCAGGCAGGGAGTGTAGCAGGCATGCAGGCAGGGAGTGTAGCAGGCATGCAGGGAGTGTAGCAGGCATGCTGGGAGTGTAGCAGGCATGCTGGGAGTGTAGCAGACTCCCAGCATGGAGAGTTACTTTTGTGTCATTTTTCTATCGCTTACTCACTAACTTACTTGCTACACTGTTAATTCTGTACTTTATCACTGGCTGCCACTATAGCCTTTATCGATACCTACTGCTTTAGTATCGTACTTATCTTAGAATCATTGAATCACTGCAGAAGGCACATTCTCCCCTCTCTCTTCCTCCTCCACTTTGGTACTTTGCTACAAGTTTTTTCTTGAATTTCATTGTGTTTCTTTCCTTCTTTATCACAGGGCTGGCACTAGAAACTTCTTTGGGCCCAAGATGGCTTATTTAGCAGTTACAAGCACTAAAAATAATGAAATTATACAACATATATTGCATGTACACGTGGAATCATCCTCACTAGCTTGTAAACAATGGCACACTACCTTGTACACGAGCTCAGGCCGCGCAGACACGTTCAGGACGAATGTCCTTAACCGAGTTTTTCATCGTTAGCCGAGCGAATATTTTGACGCAAAAAGGCATCGGTATCCAATTTTATCGCTATCCGATAGCATCATTAACTGAGGGTCCACTGTACTGGTATGTATAGCCCACGATTGCACTTTTTTTCCCCACACACTTTACTATATGGAAACAAAGTACAAGTCGGTATTACATGGTAAAACTTACTCCTTCAGTTCAGACAAAACTTGCACAATGTTGGCTTCTGATGCCAGACGAATCATGATGTCCAGCTTCTCCAGCTTTACATAAATAGGATCATTATACTTGACAAAGAACACTTTCATCTCGTGTTTCAGAAGATCTGGCCGCTTTTGAACAATCAGGTTGATATTTCTAAGAGCAACATACTGAACCTAAATAAAATGGGGGAAAGGGGAGAGAAAATTTAATGACTACCATAAAAAAAAAAAACATAAGGATCAGATTTAAATATTTTTATTATAATAATTACCAAAGTATTGTACTCTCCTTCCTTTTGCATATACAACCTCTCCTCACTTAACGAAGGAGTTCTGTCCCTAGGACCACATTGGTAAACGAATTTGTCACTACACAAGGAGCATACGATAATGGTAGTGGGTCTGTGTCAACCAATTTTGATATTGTTTTAATGTCGCTTTGCACCATTTATAACATTTCTAGTATGTTTTTACATGTTTATACAGTAGTGTACTGTATATTGTAATAAACAGAATAGAAGAAATCAGCTCTAATATACATTATTTAAGTATGCATACCAGTCAGATAGCCTGTTGTAAGTCTGAGTCATCAGTAAACAAGCACGTTGCTAAGTGAGGAGAGGCTGTACTGTATTTTCTTTGCATATTGTGAAACGATAAAGAACATTAAAAAATCCTCTCCTACATTTCACGTTAAAACTTCAGCATGCATCACTCTGGCCTATCTTTAAGTACAGTATCACAGTATGTATTTGACAGTGCAATAATTTCCATTGTTACACAGTGGAAATTATTGCACTGTTTTTGGTATCATATTAATGGTAAACAATACCAACAAATTGATAATAAGACACATTTACAACACTCAAGTTGTCTTTTTTGCAAAAACATTTCACATGCATAGCAGACTTTTCCCCAGTCAAATACAAGTACAAACACCACTATGGTATTATGGTACAATGAAGTCTTCTGCACTCCTTTGCTAAACAACAGTTTAGCATGACCTACTTCCACTGGTGGGTCATGGTTACCTATGGCCTCAACTCTAACACCTACACCTCTTCTGCTCCAGTATATAAGGTTTGGCTGCATTGCCTCTGCTTTAGGCCGAGACACTGACCACCACCTATCAAGGCTGAAGGACTGATTACCTCAAAATTAGCTTTTCCACCATCTCCAGTGTTATTCACCTGTATTCAACTGGCAAAGTCTGCTGCACAGATAAAGATACCAAAGTGTTACACATGAATCTTATCACATATTTTTGAATTGAATATTTCTGTTTTTGGTGCAAATATTCATCTAGAACCATGACCTTTTATAAAAAGCTGTCCATTTGATAAGAGATCAATTTTAAACAATCCTAAGATGAAAATCAAGGCATTCATATACATGCTACAGTACTGATAGATTTAATGCATCTTCTCAAATCAATTTGGTTGAAAACTTAATAAATTACAACAAAGCCCTCTGCTTCATCACGAACACCAGACTCAGAAACAGAATCAGATCAGAGGACCTACACACACAACAGAGAATCCCTGCAATCAATGTCCGATTAGACAAACTTACTAAGAGACAACTATATGACCTGCAAGAACTCTACGTGCCTGACAGAGAGAATCCCCCCAACCAGTGAACACAACCGACTATACCATCACCACCCCTCCCCACAGATCCCAAAGAATGACCCTCCAGCAAAGAGTTCGACGCTTTATCCACAAGGAGAACTTCCCTCGTCCCAAAATCTTAAGCGACCTCCCCGCAGACGAAGAATGGATACCACCGGAACCATTCTATGTCCAGTAACATGGACTAGCGCTCCCCATCTCCGGGTGACCCACTTCTATCAACCAACACCTCACAACTGACCTCGTTGCACCTACTACTACAATACAACAGGACACCACCTCAGTCACTGCCTTGCTGGCCGACTCCAGGTGAGCAACCAACCTCCATCGAATGCCCGGCAACCTTCGCCTGCAGCTGTGCCTCCTGACCAACCTCTTGCGAGAGGGAAAAAAACAAAAAAAAAAAAGGCAAGCAATTGTATGCAGTATACATCCTTCCAATTCAATGACGCACTGGTATAACACAATATAGCATTGCGTAATTGATGGGCAGGAGGTATACCCTACTCATAAAACCAACCTCTTTATAAATTACTCAATATGCACACATGCATGTTCAAATTACACCAAAGTGGATAGACCACTACCCTTTTATAACCCCACCTACCCCTCCTCCCTCCCCAACCTTTCCCAACTTCCATCCTTACCCATCCTTCTTCCCCCCCTCCCCTCTTACCAAAGCTCTGGTCAGAACCTCGACCTCGAACAACATAGTAATGTGCATACTTCTGTAACACAGCAGTTTCATAAGACATTTAAGTGCTTTTAAGAATTTCCTTTAATTAGGTGAACAATACTTTTTTAAAACATTCATATAATGTACCAAACTAACCTCTGGTTCAGATGACAGCAGAGTAACTAAGGGTGGAGCCAGTTTTTTGGTCAGATTTTTAACAAATTCTGAGTCACTGACCATTAGCTCCATGAATTTCATAAGGCATTTAACAGCAGAGAGAACCACAGCTGCATTTGCATGAGCTAGACGTGGTGTGATGCGCTCACAGATACTGACAAAAATTAATACAACATTAATTACAGGAGAGAAATACAAACCCTAAAAACTAACTTGGATGTCTACATTATAACATTCTTTATAGTCAACTAGCCAAAAACAAAGTTTTTAATACTGTAATATGAAAATGACTTCTACACCTACACATATACCTACCCACCCACATAATATACAAAATAAAGTTGCCAATAAAATAAAGAAGTATACTCAGTAAAAAAGACATCCATGAGAGCTGATGAAGCTGCACCAAGTCTCATAAACTTTTGGGGTATAATGCCAATTGAAAAGGACAAATACAAGGTAATTATTTTGTTTAATTTTTTTGAAAATGAAGAAATAATCCATGACATTAATACTTTTTTTTTTTTTTTTATCACACCGGCCGATTCCCACCAAGGCAGGGTGGCCCGAAAAAGAAAAACTTTCACCATCATTCACTCCATCACTGTCTTGCCAGAAGGGTGCTTTACACTACAGTTTTTAAACTGCAACATTAACACCCCTCCTTCAGAGTGCAGGCACTGTACTTCCCATCTCCAGGACTCAAGTCCGGCCTGCCGGTTTCCCTGAATCCCTTCATAAATGTTACTTTGCTCACACTCCAACAGCACGTCAAGTATTAAAAACCATTTGTCTCCATTCACTCCTATCAAACACGCTCAAGCATGCCTGCTGGAAGTCCAAGCCCCTCGCACACAAAACCTCCTTTACCCCCTCCCTCCAACCCTTCCTTGGCCGACCCCTACCCCGCCTTCCTTCCACTACAGACTGATACACTCTTGAAGTCATTCTGTTTCGCTCCATTCTCTCTACATGTCCGAACCACCTCAACAACCCTTCCTCAGCCCTCTGGACAACAGTTTTGGTAATCCCGCACCTCCTCCTAACTTCCAAACTACGAATTCTCTGCATTATATTCACACCACACATTGCCCTCAGACATGACATCTCCACTGCCTCCAGCCTTCTCCTCGCTGCAACATTCATCACCCACGCTTCACACCCATATAAGAGCGTTGGTAAAACTATACTCTCATACATTCCCCTCTTTGCCTCCAAGGACAAAGTTCTTTGTCTCCACAGACTCCTAAGTGCACCACTCACTCTTTTTCCCTCATCAATTCTATGATTCACCTCATCTTTCATAGACCCATCCGCTGACACGTCCACTCCCAAATATCTGAATACGTTCACCTCCTCCATACTCTCTCCCTCCAATCTGATATTCAATCTTTCATCACCTAATCTTTTTGTTATCCTCATAACCTTACTCTTTCCTGTATTCACCTTTAATTTTCTTCTTTTGCACACCCTACCAAATTCATCCACCAATCTCTGCAACTTCTCTTCAGAATCTCCCAAGAGCACAGTGTCATCAGCAAAGAGCAGCTGTGACAACTCCCACTTTGTGTGTGATTCTTTATCTTTTAACTCCACGCCTCTTGCCAAGACCCTCGCATTTACTTCTCTTACAACCCCATCTATAAATATATTAAACAACCACGGTGACATCACACATCCTTGTCTAAGGCCTACTTTTACTGGGAAAAAATTTCCCTCTTTCCTACATACTCTAACTTGAGCCTCACTATCCTCGTAAAAACTCTTCACTGCTTTCAGTAACCTACCTCCTACACCATACACTTGCAACATCTGCCACATTGCCCCCCTATCCACCCTGTCATACGCCTTTTCCAAATCCATAAATGCCACAAAGACCTCTTTAGCCTTATCTAAATACTGTTCACTTATATGTTTCACTGTAAACACCTGGTCCACACACCCCCTACCTTTCCTAAAGCCTCCTTGTTCATCTGCTATCCTATTCTCCGTCTTACTCTTAATTCTTTCAATTATAACTCTACCATACACTTTACCAGGTACACTCAACAGACTTATCCCCTATAATTTTTGCACTCTCTTTTATCCCCTTTGCCTTTATACAAAGGAACTATGCATGCTCTCTGCCAATCCCTAGGTACCTTACCCTCTTCCATACATTTATTAAACAATTGCACCAACCACTCCAAAACTATATCCCCACCTGCTTTTAACATTTCTATCTTTATCCCATCAATCCGGCTGCCTTACCCCCTTTCATTTTACCTACTGCCTCACGAACTTCCCCCACACTCACAACTGGCTCTTCCTCACTCCTACAAGATGTTATTCCTCCTTGCCCTATACACGAAATCACAGCTTCCCTATCTTCATCAACATTTAACAATTCCTCAAAATATTCCTTCCATCTTCCCAATACCTCTAACTCTCCATTTAATAACTCTCCTCTCCTATTTTTAACTGACAAATCCATTTGTTCTCTAGGCTTTCTTAACTTGTTAATCTCACTCCAAAACTTTTTCTTATTTTCAACAAAATTTGTTGATAACATCTCACCCACTCTCTCATTTGCTCTCTTTTTACATTGCTTCACCACTCTCTTAACCTCTCTCTTTTTCTCCATATACTCTTCCCTCCTTGCATCACTTCTACTTTGTAAAAACTTCTCATATGCTAACTTTTTCTCCCTTACTACTCTCTTTACATCATCATTCCACCAATCGCTCCTCTTCCCTCCTGCACCCACTTTCCTGTAACCACAAACTTCTGCTGAAGACTCTAACACTACATTTTTAAACCTACCCCATACCTCTTCGACCCCATTGCCTATGCTCTCATTAGCCCATCTATCCTCCAATAGCTGTTTATATCTTACCCTAACTGCCTCCTCTTTTAGTTTATAAACCTTCACCTCTCTCTCCCTGATGCTTCTATTCTCCTTGTATCCCATCTACCTTTTACTCTCAGTGTAGCTACAACTAGAAAGTGATCTGATATATCTGTGGCCCCTCTATAAACATGTACATCCTGAAGTCTACTCAACAGTCTTTTATCTACCAATACATAATCCAACAAACTACTGTCATTTCGCCCTACATCATATCGTGTATACTTATTTATCCTCTTTTTCTTAAAATATGTATTACCTATAACTAAACCCCTTTCTATACAAAGTTCAATCAAAGGGCTCCCATTATCATTTACACCTGGCACCCCAAACTTACCTACCACACCCTCTCTAAAAGTTTCTCCTACTTTAGCATTCAGGTCCCCTACCACAATTACTCTCTCACTTGGTTCAAAGCCTCCTATACATTCACTTAACATCTCCCAAAATCTCTCTCTCTCCTCTGCATTCCTCTCTTCTCCAGGTGCATACACGCTTATTATGACCCACTTCTCGCATCCAACCTTTACTTTAATCCACATAATTCTTGAATTTACACATTCATATTCTCTTTTCTCCTTCCATAACTGATCATTTAACATTACTGCTACCCCTTCCTTTGCTCTAACTCTCTCAGATACTCCAGATTTAATCCCATTTATTTCCCCCCATGGCCAGTTTTTTATTTACATGGTACAATAATTAAAGCTTGCCCTGGAATAAGGAACCAAATTTTATGAGTACTTTATAATGACATGAAGTCCATTTAAAAATTAAACACTGGAGCCAATCCCAACCTACTGTAACTACAATCCTGATTTAGTCTCTACCAGAAAAAATATTTGGAAAAAAAAAAAAAAAGAAATTGGAGGAGTTAAGAGTAAGATGGAGTACAGGTATTAGTATGACAGTAATCAGACACCATCTTTAGTTGATAAACAGTTATATTACTAACCTTTGTGCCTCTCTCTCATCTTTGGGACTATACTGAGAGAGTGCATCCAAGATGAACACCTGACCCCATTCAGTACATTCATTGAGGGCGGTGAGGAGTTTGTTCATTGTTGCAGCATTGAGTTCCATTAGAGGCTGGCCTGAGCTGCTGGCTTCATTGATTTCAGTAAGGGATGCTACCGCATTAGCTACAACCTGAAGCAGTAAACACAGTAGTATTACAGTAATATTAGCATTGGAGGGGAAGGGTAATATTTATAATGTGCATTACTATCTCAAGATAAATTTCCTATACAATATGCATTACAAAAATCTACTGATTTCACAACATACAAAATCTAACAGCTAGTACCTAAGTTCACATAAATTAAATTGTTATAAACACATTTCTCTAGTTACCATTGGATTGGAATCAGAGAGAAGCTCCTTCAACTGATCAAGAAAACCTTGGTCTTCTACCATGGAAGCATTAATATCATGCAGTTTTGCAACACAGATGGCTGCAGTTTTCCGTACATAAGGGTCTTCATCTTTCAGGCACTTTCGTAAGGGTTCACAGAGATATTCAGTGATCTTGTCAACACGTATGCATCCCATTGTACGCACAGCCAGAGCTCTAATCAGAGGATTTGGATCCTCACAATCCTATAAATCAACAAATTTTACAGACTGTATATACACTGATATTTAACAAGCCAATTAAATAACATTTAAGACAGTGGAATATTTTCACCCCAACCACTCGTGTGACAGATAAATTACTAATTTGTTTAAGCCCTTCTCAAACAATGCAAGAGCTCTAAAGCATATTTACACTGCTAATGACTTCTTTTCCCTGGAAACCTTGCATATACGAGGGGCTAGCCAAATTAAAATCTACCCCAGGCATTTCAAATCCTGAAATTTTCAAACAATCTTTATAATGCTTACTGAATCTTTAAACATAACTCGTGATACAAAATCCAAATTGGTCTATGTGAATGAGAAACTGAACTTCTTACAACATTATATAAGAGATTTACATTTAGCGAGTAGTATTGTAAAATGTGTACAAATGAGGTCATGAATTGGGAATGCTATGCAATATTAAACACCTATTTCCTCTACATAATAAATGCTCTCTTTTTCCCCAGAAAAAAATAATGATTTTTAGTGAATTTTTAGTATAGCTTAACAGGAGTGTACTGATATGACACTAAACTTTGATTAAACTCACTGACAAATTACAGCTGAACATTGCAAATTAAAGTTACCTTAACAAATGTGTTTACAGCCATAATTGCCATGTCAGGCTGGGACTTTGCATAGTTCATGAGATACAGATAAACAAGCTTCTTTAACTCTAGATTATCTGTCTGCATGCAATTAACCACATCAGGAAACAATGCTGATACGTCCTTGCCTGCAAAAAGAAAAAGAGGTAGTTTAAAACATGGTATTACAGTATACAGTGGAACCTCAGTACTCAAACTTAATTCATTCCAGAAGACTGTTCAAGTGCCGATCCGTGTGAGTATCGAACAAATTCTTTCCAACCAATTTTCTCTTTGGTTGGCTGTTATCACTAATCTTTGTAGGCCCGATGGTGACTTATTTATACAAATAATATAAAGAAGTACCAAAAAATGCAAAGAAACATGAAACAGTTCATAGCAAAGTTCTGGCAGGTCATGTTTGTTTGGTCGAGTGCTGAGCTTTGTTCAAGTAGGAAGATGTTCGAATACCGAGGTTCCATTGTAATCAACAGTCACATAGTTAGCTGCCTTGCTTGTGGTCTCCAACAAAGTATTAAGGATGATAAAGGACTATTACTTTAATTAATGGCTGTATTTTTCCATATTTTAAATACACACACTCAGATTATAGTCCTCTTTCATTTTTTCCTCTTCCTTGTTCTTAATTTTTAGGTACATTACAATTATTACCATACCTTGGTATACAGTGACAGGAAGTTCCACACTGTAATGTACTTTACTAATAAATAGTGGTTGATGTAACAACTTTTTTCCTATTTTCTTTGACACTTGTCTGGGAGGAATAAAAAGGTTTGGTCCAAATCAACCATCTTGTAACACAATCCAAATCTTTAAGAAATTTTTTTAGGCACCTAACTGAAAAACTCCATGTTGACAATTTCTCCTGGCAAAAATATTTGGTTCCACAAAATCAAGGCAATGAAAGTCTCAAGTTTAAGCTACACTACTGAGTTACTAAGAATTTTCAGCATATTTTTGAGTAAAGATGGCAGTACTCACATGCATGCCTCATATTTCTAAGACATACTGTATACATTGTGTGTTGCACTTAAAGACAGAGTCGAGAGAACAAGCTAATAGTCCTAAAAATAAATTGTTTAAAAATGATGAATTTTTGTAAAATTACATGGTACACATTCTACATTGTGCACTAAAACTTGGTAACCTCATTAACCTTAATGTAATACAGCATAATTTGCCGTAATATTTACAAGCCTATCTTTGATCACCCTAAATTTTGTTAATACAGTACTGTATTATTTAACGTGAAATTAATTTTGTGACATTCAGATGGAATTTTGTAGTTACCGCAATAATGAATTTACATTGCTTGTTTGGCAAAATTAACACTTGCTTTATAAACCAAAATCACAAGCTCTGCCTAAAAACCATGACATGTATATCAAAACACAGCAAGTACTTTCAAATATGAAAATAACTTTGTGAAGAAATAAATCTGTATGCATGACTTGGGATTAATTTTATGTTTATGACATATTACCATTCATGGTTGTACAATCATGCAATACATTACATAAACTACTATGTTTAGCTCAAAATTACAATGAATTCTCACTTACCAACAGTCATTGATGCAATGACTTTCTTTACAGCTTCCTTCTTCTTTTCCTTCTTATCGCTGTTTAACTCGGACTTCAGTTCGAAGATTTCACCTTTTTTGGTTGTTGTAAAATACTTTGAGTCCGTCATTATGAAGGTTTATCTGCTTAAATCTGGAAAAAAAAAAATTTAACTAACAAATAGTATGATTACCTGCACATTAGTGAGATATAGTATGCAGTACACAAGGTCTTGCATTAAAACTTATTTTATCATAGGTCCTTAATCAAAATCCAGTGTAATTTGGAAAAGAAAAATATTTTTGTATATCACATGGGGGAAACACAGGGCTCAAACAGGGCCTGAGGAATGGGATGCAATCTGATTTGATCCGAGGAAAAGGAAGGACAAGTCCTATTCCTCGCATCAAGAGCCTCTCACTAGGAGGCAAAAGAAAATGTCCATAGTAACATCATTAACACTGAATTATTATTATAATCAAAAAGAAGCGCTAAGCCACAAGGACTATACAGGATTAACACTGAAAGGGAACTTCCACAACTACAATCAAGAAGTGCTACTTTGGGGTCATTATTATAATCATGGGGGAGCGCTAAACCTGTAAGATTATACAGCGCATGAGGGGGGAGGGGGTGGAAGATATTCAGGCTAATTCAGGGAACTGAAGTACAGATCCAATTCCCTAGATCAAAAGCCCCTCACCAGCGTCAAGGAACCCCCCTGAAGAGGAACTTTGGGGTCACAGCTCAGGATTCCCATTCCTTGGATCGAGAGCCTTCCACCAACATTAAGACACCTCCCCTGGGAACTAGATATAAGACTTGCTCAGGCATCTATATAAGCGAGTATATTTGTAGTCATTGAGAAAATATGACAGCAACTACTATTTTAAACATTCATAAAATGAGTGTTAAATTTTATCCAACGCCAAAATAATCATCTCAATGAATTGAAATCGCTTTCTGGCACATTGCGTAACTGACCCTAAAGAGCACAGCAGGTCTCCAGGAAAGAAAATTGTAGAAATCCTGACGTAGTGTTAGTGAGTGTAGGTGACAGCAGGAACCTCCCATCGACCAGGTAGTTCACACCGCCCTCCACAGATGGCGTGCACCAACACTCTTAAATTAATTTATTTCTCCAACTTTACAATACAACTTTATTTCTTTTCTGCAAAGTGCATGCAATAAAAAAAATGTTAAGCACAAAAGAAAGCCATTAGCATGAGGTGCATTTCGGGCAGACTAATCCCATTGCTTGCAGACTATTTAAGAACTAGACATTGGTTATGGAGTAGGAATACTTAGGTTTATTGCAACTAAAATATTTGTTTAATTGTAAACTTGGTTTTAATTTGTAAAGTTGGTTTTAAATCTTCGAGTGAAAAAATTTCTTGGTCTCTCAGCTGTCAAATAACATATGGAATTAAGTGTTAAAATATGTGTATATATAAACAAAATAAGTGATAATTATTAATATATTATGTTTTATAATATTTATATAAAATATTTCCAGGGTTGCCTTTTAGTTAAAGTAATGACACATTGATTTTTTAAAATGTAGGGCTAGACAACATGGGCCTGGACGACCACCTAAATCTTGCAAATATATCCCGACACACTGTCAAGCGCCTATATATAAGTATAATAATTAAAAATATTCAATGAAAATATTTGAAATAGTCAAATGTCTATATTATGCATACCCATACTCATGGTGTGGGCGGTAGTCAAAAGATTATAGAGACACGTAATGGGTCCAGGAAGTGGGCTGCAGAGTTTTGTAAGCTGGACAAGTTACCGTGGTGATGAACTATTTACATGTTTTATCTGAATATAGTCTCATTGAGGATGCAGACATTAATTAAGTTACAATAAAGCTTATACGTGGTTTTGAATTGTTTATATTGCTTTATATTTTAGTAGAGTAGCTACGGTAGTGTAGCTAGACTTCACTGAAACAGCATCCAGGGTTCATCCCATAACAGGGTCCCAAATTATGACCGGCTCCTCAGACCATTAAAATCCTTACACTCAACCACAAATAACAGTGTGAGAACGGTTGTTGCGCCATACAAGTATCTAGTTTATTGAGCACACCATGCTCATCCTGGGTCTTTATCAGACCCCACTGGGCATTATTACACCGCTAGGTACACATAAGTACAATTATCATACATACTAACATGTGTAAATTACCAAGGATAGCCCCTCCCCCCCAAAAAAAAACTGACTTATTTCTGTTGGGGGTCTTGATATATATTATAGCACTATCAGACTGGTTTACGATAACAGCATTTCCCGTCCTTCCACTGTCTGGGTTAAAATAGCCATCAGTGTAGATTGTGGAAAATACTGTATATTTTCCGGAAATACGGTAATTTATAGATAAATAGATGCCCTATATTACTCAAGAAATCGTAATGACACGATTGCAAACAAACCATACCCCCGGCCGGGATTGAACCAGCGGTCATAGAGTCTCAAAACTCCAGCCCGTCGCGTTAGCCACTAGGCCGGGGGTATGGTTTGTTTGCAATCGTTTGTGTGCAATTGTTTGTGTTCCCAGCGAGGGTAGAAACATTAGGCGTATTTTTTTACACCGGTTGTCTATGTTCACCCATCAGTAAAATAGGTACCTGAGATAATGATCTAATTTGTCCGAAATGTTCAGCATAACAAGGGGCTTTCTATATGTAGTATGTCATTGATGTCAGCTAGGCCTGTATACCTCGTACATGTACTTGTAGTAAATAAAGATATCATTATTATTATTATTATTATTATTATTATTATTATTATTATTATTATTATTATTATTATTATTATTATTATTATTAATTATAAGGTGCTGAGCATGATGTCCTGGCTAGTCAAGGGCCTTTCACTTTGATCACAGTTTCACTCAGGGACTGTTAGGTAAGACACATATGCAACAGTTAGGTATCTTTATTTTGAAACGTTTCGCCTACACAGTAGGCTTCTTCAGTCGAGTACAGAAGAGTTGATAGAAGCAGAAGAGACTTGAAGACGATGTAATCAGTCCATCACCCTTAAAGTTTTGAGGTGGTCAGTCCCTCAGTCTGGAGAAGAGCATTGTTCCTGTCGGTATTTTATACCATTTCAACGTTCACTCAGGGACACCGGCGGGCAGGGTTCGATACGGTCTAAACTGTCAGTTGCCCTAAAGCCCCAACAAACACAGTGAACACTGAAGGTTTTAATATAATAACTGACATTTATATGAGTGGCATGTGCCACTGTATCATCCAAGGACATTGTCGCTGATAGCTCCTTTTATGATTTAGGTCCCTGTGAGCTTTAGGCTCTCCTTGGGTGATTTCCAGTACATTAAACATGCGTAGGATTAGCTTAGTTTGTTTGCCAGAACTTCATTTTGATTATAATAATAATAATGTACATACTTTAAAATTATTGTGTATATTTGAGCGTTAACTTGAAATAAAGTCATTGTCATTATCTGAAAACCCTAGAGTTCATTGTACATTGAAACGAAACCATTATCATTATTAGAAAACATTGACTTTTTTGGGTTATAATTAAATCAAAGCGCTAAACCTACAATTATTATTATTATTATTATTATTATTATTATTATTATAAAAAAAAGTGCTAAGCCACAAGAGGTATACAGCGCTGCAGGGCAGGAAGGAAGCGAGGGCATCAGGTGGCAAAAGGATGAGTAATAGGTTACGGATAACAGTGGGGCAGTGGATGGTGAAAGGGTAAAGGGCAGCAAGAGACTGAACTAGAAAGGGCTGAGGGGAGTGCGAAAGGTATCATCATCAGAGTTTGTAGAGTAAATCAGTCGTTGTCTAAACCTACAAGACATACCACTTTTTGGGGGGGTAATCCTAGGTAATTAAACTATGATAATTAAACTTTTGTGTACCTCCAATTAAAGAAACTAATCCCCAACTGCTTGATCTGTTTTGTCTCATTAATATGATATATTTAGTGATAAGTAAGTAAGTTTATTCAGGTATACACAAATACAGTTACATAGAATTATACATAGCAGCATATGTGTAGAGAACCTGGGATAACCCAAAAAAGTCAGACACAGTGACTTATTTCCATTGGGGTCCTTTTACCTTATTATTATAATATAAAGGTTATAATATTTTCTTATTCTATAATGAAGATAACATCTTGTTATTATACTAAAAAGACTATCTACTACATGAGGGTCATTAAGACTTATCTACAATACGAGGACATGAGAAAACAATGTATAGATTACCTAAAGAAACCTTTTCTTAAGATATGACAATTGTTAGCCTTATTTTCCAAGAAACCAAACAGTAGACAGCAGCATCATGCTGCTCTAATTAGAAAATTGTGGAATCAAAGGCCAAGTTCTCAAATACAGAAAGTCCTATCTAAAATTATAATAGTGGGTTGCTAGGTACACACTTCATATACATATACACAAATACAGTTACATAGATTATCATACATAGCAGTATATGTGTACAGAACCTAGGATAACCCAAAAAAGTCAAAGTGACTTTTTTCCATTGGGGTATTTTTAATACCTTATTATTATACTATAAAGGAGATAATATCTTATTATACTATAAAGGAGATATACTAGGAATAAGGTAAAAGAGTTATTTATATTTACATGTGTGTTAGCTAAAAAAAAAAATCATTCTGCCTTTGTTGCTACATTCATTAGGTACCTTTTGGCTCTCTTCTTGAAGTGGTATGTGAGTAAGATATGCAACAGCAGTATCTTTACTGATGAGTGGAACAAACTCCCGTGTTACATTATTGAAGCTAAAATACTGTATTTTTTAAAAATAGGTTAGACAAATACATGAGTGGGTGTGAGGTGGACCTGACTGGATTGGGACCAGTAGGTGACTTGGGCTTGCCTAGCATGGGCCAGTAGGCCTGCTGCAGTGTTCCTTCTTTCTTATATACAGGGAATCATACCCATCATCCTGCATGTGTAACATAATAACATTATAGTAATTATTATAGTACAATGCAATATTAGTTACAATAACTGGTATTTTGGATTGAAAGCTTTTAATATTAATTACAGACTAGCCCTTATATACATATACAGTTTATGAAACTGACATTTCCATCCTTCCAGAGAATTTAAATTTATCAGGGTCCCTATTTCACTGTTCTATACCCACAGCTGTGAAAATACATTTTTGGCTTCCTTTTCTTAATTCATTATATTTCCTCAGACTTGTAGTTGAGCTATGGGTTTGCGAGGCCGTAGTCGTCACAGGGAGCTCAACACACTGACATGCTTAGTCATGGGCCTCACCGGATGGAAAACTACTGTTGAGTTGCACAACGATGCATTCGTCGCTGGGTTGATTACAGACGTTGATGTGTATGTTATATTCCTCAATTGTTGTTGAACACTTTCCCAAATAATGTTTTTAAAACAGTATAGAGACAGATTATTGTAATACTCGTGTGTAGTTAGTCTGCTAATTTTTGAAGTATGTACACATGCTGTAAAGTACATTTTTATAGACAAGCTATTCGACTGGCAGCCCAAATGTAAGCAATTATTGAATTGCTTTGCTAGACGTACCACGGTAGTAGGTTGGTAGACAGCAACCACCCAGGGAGGTACTACTGTCCTGCCAAGTGAGTGTAAAACGAAAGCCTGTGATTGTTTTACATGATGGTAGGATTGCTGATGTCTTTTGTCTGTCTCATAAATATGCAAGATTACAGGTATGTCTTGCTACTTCTACTTACACTTAGGTCACACTACACATACATGTACACATTTATTTATACACACTCATCTGAGTTTTCTTTGATTTTATCTTAATAGTTCTTGGTCTTATTACTTTTCCTTTTATATCCATGGGGAAGTGGAATAAGAATCTTTCCTCCGTAAGCCATGTGTGTTGTAAAAGTCAACTAAAATGCCGGGAACAATAAGCTAGTAACCCCTTTTCCTGTAAAGATTACTAAAAAGAATAAGAAGAAAATTTGTCAAAGTGGGAAGTCTGAATGTGCATGGATGTTGTGCAGATGATAAGAAAGAGATGATTGTGGATGTTATGAATGAGAAGAAGCTGGATGTCCTGGCTTTAAGTGAAACAAAGCTGAAGGGGGTGGGAGAGTTTCAGTGGAGAGGAATAAATGGGATTAGGTCAGGGGTTTCAAATAGAGTTAGAGCTAAAGAAGGAGTAGCAATAATGTTGAAGGATAAGCTATGGCAGGAAAAGAGGGACTATAAATGTATTAATTCAAGGATTATGTGGAGTAAAATAAAGATTGGATGTGAAAAGTGGGTTATAATAAGTGTGTATGCACCTGGAGAAGAGAGATGTGTAGAGGAGAGAGAGAGATTTTGGGAAAGGTTGAGTGAATGCGTGGGGAGTTTTGAATCAAGTGTGAGAGTAATGGTGGTTGGGGATTTCAATGCTAAAGTGGGTAAAAATGTTATGGAGGGAGTAGTAGGTAAATTTGGGGTGCCAGGGGTAAATGTAAATGGGGAGCCTTTAATTGAGCTATGTGTAGAAAGAGATTTGGTAATAAGTAATACATATTTTATGAAAAACAGGATAAATAAATATATACAAGGTATGATGTAGCACGTAATGAAAGTAGTTTATTAGATTATGTATTGGTGGATAAAAGGTTGATGGGTAGGCTCCAGGATGTACATGTTCATAGAGGGGCAACTGATATATCGGATCATTATTTAGTTGTAGCTACAGTTAGAGTAAGAGGTAGATGGGAAAAGAGGAAGGTGGCAACAAGTAAGAGGGAGGTGAAAGTGTATAAACTAAGGGAGGAGGAAGTTCGGGTGAGATATAAGCGACTATTGGCAGAAAGGTGGGCTAGTGCAAAGATGAGTAGTGGGGGGGTTGAAGAGGGTTGGAATAGTTTTAAAAATGCAGTATTAGAATGTGGGGTAGAAGTTTGTGGTTATAGGAGGGTGGGGGCAGGAGGAAAGAGGAGTGATTGGTGGAATGATGAAGTAAAGGGTGTGATAAAAGAGAAAAAGGTAGCTTACGAGAGGTTTTTACAAAGCAGAAGTGTTATAAGAAGAGCAGAGTATATGGAGAGTAAAAGAAAGGTGAAGAGAGTGGTGAGAGAGTGCAAAAGGAGAGCAGATGAAAGAGTGGGAGAGGCACTGTCAAGAAATTTTAATGAAAATAAGAAAAAATTTTGGAGTGAGTTAAACAAGTTAAGAAAGCCTAGGGAAAGTATGGATTTGTCAGTTAAAAACAGAGTAGGGGAGTTAGTAGATGGGAGAGGGAGGTATTAGGTAGATGGCGAGAATATTTTGAGGAACTTTTAAATGTTGAGGAAGAAAGGGAGGCGGTAATTTCATGCACTGGCCAGGGAGGTATACCATCTTTTAGGAGTGAAGAAGAGCAGAATGTAAGTGTGGTGGAGGTACGTGAGGCATTACGTAGAATGAAAGGGGGTAAAGCAGCTGGAACTGATGGGATCATGACAGAAATGTTAAAAGCAGGGGGGGATATAGTGTTGGAGTGGTTGGTACTTTTGTTTAATAAATGTATGAGAGAGGGGAAGGTACCTAGGGATTGGCGGAGAGCATGTATAGTCCCTTTATATAAAGGGACAGGGGACAAAAGAGATTGTAAAAATTATAGAGGAATAAGTTTACTGAGTATACCAGGAAAAGTATACGGTAGGGTTATAATTGAAAGAATTAGAGGTAAGATAGAATGTAGAATTGCGGACGAGCAAGGAGGCTTCAGAGTGGGTAGGGGATGTGTAGATCAAGTGTTTACATTGAAGCATATATGTGAACAGTATTTAGATAAAGGTAGGGAAGTTTTTATTGCATTTATGGATTTAGAAAAGGCATATGATAGAGTGGATAGAGGAGCAATGTGGCAGATGTTACAAGTATATGGAATAGGTGGTAAGTTACTAAATGCTGTAAAGAGCTTTTATGAGGATAGTGAGGCTCAGGTTAGGGTGTGTAGAAGAGGGGGAGAATACTTCCCGGTAAAAGTAGGTCTTAGACAGGGATGTGTAATGTCACCATGGTTGTTTAATATATTTATAGATGGGGTTGTAAAAGAAGTAAATGCTAGGGTGTTCGGGAGAGGGTTGGGATTAAATTATGGGGAATCAAATTCAAAATGGGAATTGACACAGTTACTTTTTGCTGATGATACTGTGCTTATGGGAGATTCTAAAGAAAAATTGCAAAGGTTAGTGGATGAGTTTGAGAATGTGTGTAAAGGTAGAAAGTTGAAAGTGAACATAGAAAAGAGTAAGGTGATGAGGGTATCAAATGATTTAGATAAAGAAAAATTGGATATCAAATTGGGGAGGAGGAGTATGGAAGAAGTGAATGTTTTCAGATACTTGGAAGTTGACGTGTCGGCGGATGTATTTATGAAGGATGAGGTTAATCATAGAATTGATGAGGGAAAAAAGGTGAGTGGTGCGTTGAGGTATATGTGGAGTCAAAAAACATTGTCTATGGAGGCAAAGAAGGGAATGTATGAAAGTATAGTAGTACCAACACTCTTATATGGATGTGAAGCTTGGGTGGTAAATGCAGCAGCGAGGAGACGGTTGGAGGCAGTGGAGATGTCCTGTCTAAGGGCAATGTGTGGTGTAAATATTATGCAGAAAATTCGGAGTGTGGAAATTAGGAGGTGTGGAGTTAATAAAAGCATTAGTTAGAGGGCAGAAGAGGGGTTGTTGAGGTGGTTTGGTCATTTAGAGAGAATGGATCAAAGTAGAATGACATGGAAAGCATATAAATCTATAGGGGAAGGAAAGAGGGGTAGGGGTCGTCCTCGAAAGGGTTGGAAAGAGGGGGTAAAGGAGGTTTTGTGGGTGAGGGGCTTGGACTTCCAGCAAGCGTGCATGAGCGTGTTAGATAGGAGTGAATGGAGATGAATGATACTTGGGACCTGACGATCTGTTGGAGTGTGAGCAGGGTAATATTTAGTGAAGGGATTCAGGGAAACCGGTTATTTTCATATAGTCGGACTTGAGTCCTGGAAATGGGAAGTACAATGCCTGCACTTTAAAGGAGGGGTTTGGGATATTGGCAGTTTGGAGGGATATGTTGTGTATCTCTATACATATATGCTTCTAAGCTGTTGTATTCTGAGCACCTCTGCAAAAGCAGTGATAATGTGTGAGTGTGGTGAAAGTGTTGAATGATGATGAAAGTATTTTCTTTTTGGGGATTTTCTTTCTTTTTTTGGGTCACCCTGCCTCGGTGGGAGATGACCGACTTGTTGAAAAAAAAAAAAAAAAAATTCAGGGAAACCGGTTATTTTCATATAGTCGGACTTGAGTCCTGGAAACGGGAAGTACAATGCCTGCACTTTAAAGGAGGGGTTTGGGATATTGGCAGTTTGGAGGGATATGTTGTGTATCTTTATATGTGTATGCTTCTAAACTGTTGTATTCTGAGCACCTCTGCAAAAACAGTGATAATGTGCGAGTGTGGTGAAAGTGCTGAATGATGATGAAAGTATTTTCTTTTTGGGGATTTTCTTTCTTTTTTGGGTCACCCTGCCTCGGTGGGAGACGGCCGACTTGTTGAAAAAAAAAAAAAAAGACGTATCTCAGCTATTTATTTTCAATTTACATATTTTTGCCATGTCAGTATCCATTAACAGACTATTCAATACATGTCTTCTGACCCAGTGGACTCTTCTTTCAGTATATGACACATAAAGTGCTTAAATTTTTCCATTACAAAGAATAATTTTGTATTGTACTGTACCCAAAATGCTAGGTACAAAATTTTACTCTGGTTAAATTTGTATGCATATTGTACAGTTCATTACTGATGTTTTGCATATATTGTATCATGTACATTATTACTGTAATAGGCATTCAGTGGTAATGAGGCTTTTTATCCTTGTTTGGTTCTTTATTTAGATAAGTCGTATATGAAGTTATGTATAGAGTATTATACATATAAGTACAGTAGAACCCCCATAGTCACTGATTCGGTATCTGCGGTTTCAGTTATCCACTGTTTACTGTGGCCCAAAAATACCTCTTTTAATTTTGCATAATAATGGTCCCAGAGCACAAAAGTAGAAAAGCTGGTAGTTCTTCAAAGCCTAAAAGAAGCCATGAAGTGCTTCCCATCAGTGTAAAAGTGATAATTCTCCACTTTTTGTACATAATTTATCAATTAAACTTTATAATAGGTATGTATACAACTTATATATATAGGTTTCGGTATCCATGGCAGGTCCTTGGAACATGTCCCCCACGGATACAGGGGTCTTACTGTAATCAAAATTGAATAATTTTATATATTGCCTATATTCATTATAGATATACAAATGTGACATTCAATGATGACTTCACCTGGGTGCCTCAGATTTTTTTTATTTCATTGAGTTCCTCATGTTAATATGTACTGTAATAATGTATACTGAATTATTTTAACGTAGTACAATACCGTACAAATTTGGCAATTAATTTATAATAATTTTGTATTGTAATTCTTTTTTCTTATAAGATACATTTACAAAATTGACATGATGGCTTAATCTAAGATATCCTTTCATATGGTGTATACTTTATTCCTTAAATTTTTCCCCCTTATGTACACTGTAATGTTACTTTTGCCATAATTTTTCTATGGTCATACTCTTGATTGCCTTGTGCTGCCCTATTGGATTTCTGATACTTTTTCGAATATAGAAAGTAATAAGATGGGTTCTTATTTTTATACAAAAGACTACTGATTGATTTTTGCCATAGGTGTTAAATACATTATTCTTTTATATGACCTAATGGATTATTATTATAATCAAAAAGAAGCGCTAAGCCACAAGGACTATACAGCTATGACCTAATGGAATGGCTGAGGATTGTTACTTGGGTTGGCTCATCATTAATTGTCATCATTTGTTTAGCTCCAAGATTTGTTTATACATATATTTTAGCAAATCCAGCTCTCTCTTCAATGCTATTTCCAAAATTTCATCATATTACTGTGAACGCAAACACTTTCCTTGTTTGTTTGTCTAAGCATTATTTATTGTAACCAATTTTGGTTCTTTGACAGATCCATTTAGCCAGGATTCTAAAACAAGAGATTACAGCAGTTTTTATTTTATATGCTTGCATTTTCATTTCTAACAGCTCTTGCAAGATTAATTTGGCACTTACATATTAAATGTAGACTCCTGCATTTAAAGCACTAAAATTCATCACTGTCGAAGGGTTTGTATGGTATCACAAGGTTCAAGGGTACTTCTTCCAGCTCAGTATTGTTAAATGGTAATAAAGTTAGTGTGCATATACATATTAGAAAAAAAATGGAGGAGGGATGAGGGTGGCCTTACTGTTATGCACCAGGCCAACATTGTCGAAGTACCACACTTGGCTCCACTTTGAGGACAGCGAGCAGCAAGCTTCTGTACCACAAGACGGGCAGAAAGCAGCAACTTAACTCTGGCTGTACCCTTCTCCAGAACATCATTTCATCTGAGATCATTTATCCCCAGGATGACTCAAGTCTGGAACACATTCGTAGAGCATTATGATGTCAACGAGATAAAGTCAGTTGATCAAGTGAAAATGCTGGCCCACAGATGGCTCCAACTTCTTCCTGTTCCCTACTTCTATGTTTCATAACAATAAATATGCTTTTATATGAGCTGATGTGGGTAACAGCTCTTAGCTTGTCAGTAAAGTTAGGAATCTTTAACTTGTAAATAGCTTGTCAATAAAGCTAGGGATCCTTAACCTAACCTTGTCAAACCCTGTGTAAAAAAAAAAAAAAAAAAAAGGATAAGTACATAATACCGTACATCAGTTATGTATCATATTTTTGTTTTGTAATGGCATAAATATTTCCCATCTTTGTTCTACATGCAGGTATAATAATACAATACTATAGAACAGTATTGTAATACAAAATAGATGCTGCACATTAAATTACCATTCAAGACAAAAAATGGTTTGTATAAATCATCACAAAGCATTTCATTACCTTTGCAGGAAAATGAACATGGAAATGACAAATGCAAGATACACTGATGGAAATGGAAAAACCGTGATTTTAGAAAATTTTCATGTCATGGGCAGAAAGATTCGCTATGTACACATACCTGATACGGTACGTACCTTATAGTTTTCAAGTTTAAAAAATAATGCGTAAATTATGTTGTCTCTCAAATGCAAGCAGCCTCTTGACAATGTGTTTAGTTTATGCAAGTAATTTTGCATGGAAATAATGTCCTTTGTTAGATATGATGCCCTTCCACTACTATATATACACCTGATTGTTGTGTGACCCTCTTGAGGTTATTATAATCAGGGGAGAAGCACTAAACCTGTAAAGGTTATACAGCATATAGGAAATAGGGAGGCAGTCAGGTTTGACCCAAGGATAGGCCTACTGCCTTAGATCAAGAACCTTTTACTGGCATCAAGGCACCTCCATTAGAGGATACATATGTGGCTTAGTGCTTCTTTTTGATTTATATTTTTTTTTTTATTATCACACTGGCCGATTCCCACCAAGCAGGGTGGCCCGAAAAAGAAAAACTTTCACCATCATTCACTCCATCACTGTCTTGCCAGAAGGGTGCTTTACACTACAGTTTTTAAACTGCAACATTAACACCCCTCCTTCAGAGTGCAGGCACTGTACTTCCCATCTCCAGGACTCAAGTCCGGCCTGCCGGTTTCCCTGAATCCCTTCATAAATGTTACTTTGCTCACACTCCAACAGCACGTCAAGTATTAAAAACCATTTGTCTCCATTCACTCCTATCAAACACGCTCACGCACGCCTGCTGGAAGTCCAAGCCCCTCGCACACAAAACCTCCTTCACCCCCTCCCTCCAACCCTTCCTAGGCCGACCCCTACCCCGCCTTCCTTCCACTACAGACTGATACACTCTTGAAGTCATTCTGTTTCGCTCCATTCTCTCTACATGTCCGAACCACCTCAACAACCCTTCCTCAGCCCTCTGGACAACAGTTTTGGTAATCTCGCACCTCCTCCTAACTTCCAAACTACGAATTCTCTGCATTATATTCACACCACACATTGCCCTCAGACATGACATCTCCACTGCCTCCAGCCTTCTCCTCGCTGCAACATTCATCACCCACGCTTCACACCCATATAAGAGCGTTGGTAAAACTATACTCTCATACATTCCCCTCTTTGCCTCCAAGGACAAAGTTCTTTGTCTCCACAGACTCCTAAGTGCACCACTCACTCTTTTTCCCTCATCAATTCTATGATTCACCTCATCTTTCATAGACCCATCCGCTGACACGTCCACTCCCAAATATCTGAATACATTCACCTCCTCCATACTCTCTCCCTCCAATCTGATATTCAATCTTTCATCACCTAATCTTTTTGTTATCCTCATAACCTTACTCTTTCCTGTATTCACCTTTAATTTTCTTCTTTTGCACACCCTACCAAATTCATCCACCAATCTCTGCAGCTTCTCTTCAGAATCTCCCAAGAGGATACATAAAAATTAGTGAAAAAATTTATGGAATCACAGTGTGCAACATTACTCAAGTTAGAGAATGAATTCGTAGAGAATACTGGCAATTAAAATAAAATATTTTATTCAAAGAAAATATTTAAGCTACAGTGGTAATAGGGAAGGCATAACTCTAATTTTGCTGCATCAAGCCTTTCATCAGCATTTAGATAGTCCCCTTTGAAGGACCCAACATGTAAACAGCTTTTGGGAAGACATGTAACTGAAACAAAAATGTCTTCTTTTCATATGGTAACTGAAAGACCAATTAAGAATATTCCATTTATTATTTATATATTCTTCCTTCTTTTTCCACAGGGATTTTCACCATTGCAGTACATTATTGGTACACATCTCTTAATGTCCTATCTATAACAATTCACATTGTTTTTTTAGCTCTTCTATCTTATTTCTTTGCCTGGGACTTTCAGCAATTCTTAATATTAGTCTGCTGCCTATAGAATCCTCTATTGCCAGAACATTAATTAGGTCTGGCTATTAACTGGATGAGTGAGCACAGAGTGGCCCTCACCTATTATTTTCTTCTTACTACAGCAGCAATCTCCCTACAAGATAGGGTGACTCCCTCAAAATAAGAAACACACCATTATTCATTCAGTAACTGCCTTATTGTTAGTGTAGAGAAATCACAGTTCAAATGACCATCTGAAGTGCAGGCAGTGTACTTGCCACCTTCAAGACTCAAGACCAGCTAAACAGTTTCCCTGAATCACTTCATAAATGTTACTTATCTTTCTGCTCGTACTCCAACAGCATATCAGGCCATAAAAACCACTTGTCTCCACTCGCTCCAATCTAACATACATAAGTCTCTGAATGCTCAAGCCCCTTGCACTCAAAACCTTCTTTACCCTCCTCCTTTCAACCTTTCCTGGGATAACCCTTAACATTATTTCCGCCCAGCCCAAACCACCTTAATAACCCTTCCTCTGCCTTCTGAATTATACCTTTTGTAACCCTCACACCCTAACCTAACCTAACCATGTCACATATTGCTCTCGAATATCACATCTTTACTGCCACTTGCCGTCTTGTTACAACGTTAATGCCTGTACCTCATTATAAAAATGTTGCTATAATACCACTATACGCTGGTACATTTCCATTTTTACCTCCATAAATATACTTTCCACAGATGTCTTCTCAACATACTACCCAACTTTTTACCCCCTCCCCCCCCCACTTATGCTATAGTTCATGTAGTCTTTCATAGACGTATCAGCCAACCTGTGTACCTCCAAATATCTGTATGCATACACTTAATTCCTCACTCCAGTATATGTAATCTTTCATTGCCTACATTTTTTGTTTTTTACTCATAGTCTTACTCTTGACTTTTTTTAAATTTTTTACACACCCTCCAAAATTCCTCCTCCATCATTATAGTCACATAAAAAATACGACACTTGCCCTTAACTAGAGTGACCCCAACTCCTCAAAAGAGGTTCCTCAATGGCAGTAAAGGGTTCTTGATCTAAGGAATTGGCCTTATCCTCCAGTTCCTTGGATTAAATCCGAGTGCCTTCCATTCCCCAGGACCTGCGCTTCCCTTATTGTAGTCAAAAAGAAGCGCTAAACCTACAAGGGTCATACAGCTCGGTATAATAAAAAGTGACCTAAAGCTATGGGCTTTCTGTCCTTGCCAGGGTGCACATCATGCCCTTGTCACCCCTTGCTAATGGCAGCCATTATTTTTTTTTTAACACATCAGCTGATTCCCAACAAGGCAAGGTGGCCCAAAAAATTAAAACTTTCATCATTCACTTCATCACCTCTTGCCAGAGGTGTGCTTACACTACAGTTATAAAACTGCAACATTAACACCCCTCCTTCGGAGTGTAGACACTGTACTTCCTATCTACAGGACTCAAGTCCAGCCTGCCGGTTTCCCTGAATCCCTTCATTAATGTTACTTTGCTCACACTCCAACAGCACATCAAGTATTAAAAACCATTTGTCTCCATTCACTTGTATTAAATACGCTCATGCATGCTTGCTGGAAATCCAAGCCCCTCACACACAAAACCACCTTTACCCCCTCCCTCCAACCTTTCCTAAGCTGACCTCTACCCCACCTTCCCTCCACTATAGATTTATAGACTCTCAAAATCATTTCTATTTTGTTCCATCCTCTCTACATGTCCAAACCACCTCAACATTCCCTCCTCAGCCCTCTGAATATAGTTTTGGTAATCCTGCACCTCCTCCTAATTTCCAAACTACAAATTCTCTGCATTATATTCACACTACACAGTGTCCTCAGACATGACATCTCCACTGCCTCCAGCCTTCTCTTTGTTGCAATATTCACCACCCATGCTTCACAGCCATATTAGAGCGTTGGTATAACTATACTCTCATACATTCCCCTCTTTGCTTCCATGGACAAAGTTCTTTGTCTCCACAGACTCCTAAGTGCACCACTCTCCCTTTTTCCCCTCATCAATTCTGATTCACCTCATCACTTCATAGACCCATCTGCCGACACGTTCACTCCCAAATGTCTGAATACATTCACCTCCATACTCCCCCTCCAATCTGATATCCAGTCTTTCATCCCCAAATTTTTTTATCCTCATCACCTTACTCTTTCCTATATTCACTTTTAATTTTCTTCTTTTACATACCCTATTAAACTCACCCACCAACCTCTGCAGCTTCTCTTCAGAATCTCCCAAAAGTACAGTGTCATCAGCAAAGAGCAACTGTGACAACTCCCACTTTGTGTTAGATTATCTTTTAACCCCACACCTCTTGCCAAGACCCATGTATTCACTTCTCTTACAACCCCATCTATAAATATATTGAACAACCACGGTGACATCACATATCCTTGTCTAAGGCCTACTTTTACTGGGAAATAATCTCCCTCTCTCCTACATACTCTAATCTGAGCCTCATTGGCAGCCATTATATTAATAAATTTAGGGGGAAAGTGCTAAACCTGTAGATGTTATACAGCACCAGTAGAATGAGAGGCAAATCCAGTTCCTTGTATCAATACCTCCTCTATTGTTACTACAATTAAACTCACAAGGGAAGAACCCTAGCTTCAAAAAACCTTTCATGTAGTCATTGCAGTGTATCTTTATATATACATTATTTCATTTAATATTTTTTAATTTTTTTAGGAAATACAATTTGTAATCAGTTATATAACTATAGTATGCTTAATATTTTCTAAAAAAAAAAAAATTCCCATCTCTACCACAGGTGCAATATAAAGGTGTTATAAGCTACTGTTGCTATCCTTAAATATAAACCTATCTTTTCTTATTGTTTCATTATTATTATTATAATCAAAAAGAAGCGCTAAGCCACAAGAGCTATACAGCGCTGCAGGGTAGGGAAGGAAGCGAGGGTATTGGGCGGTAGAAGGGAGGAGAGATGATCAGTAGGTTACAGAAAACAGCGGGGCAGGGGATAGTGCGGGGGTAGAGGGCAGCAAGAGATTGAGGTAGAAAGGGCTGAAGGTATCATCAGAGTTTGTGAAGTAAGTCAGTTGTTGTCAAAAAGTCAATGAGAGAGTCCGGATGAAAGGTGGGTCCATCAGCAAGAAGGGAAGGTAAAGAGAGAGCAGCGG